AGAAATGTTTAGACTATACCATAACAAAAGAATACAAATAATAATAACTTTAAAACAAAATGAAAATATTTTGTCAAGGCATGTAAGGTCCCAATATGTTATGCCAAAGCATCAATAATTTCACTATGTTCTGGCTAGACATCTGTGGTTTCACTATGATATGCCAAGGCATCAATAATTTCACTATGTTCCGCCTAGACATCAGTGGATTCACTATGTTCCGCCTAGACATCAGTGGTTTCACTATGATATGCCAAGGCATCAATAATTTCACTTTGTTCTAGGCATCAAGTTATGCTGTAGGTAATGCAGCTTATCACGATGATGGATTGTACAATAAATTATCCAATGCTGTGCCAATATTAGTTGATGTATTAGGAGATTCTGTGGCTAAAACAAGAACAAACGCTGCTGGTAAGTCGATTAGTCGCAAAGGGGAAATAATACACATGTAAATTTATTCTGTCAATTGTTTTAACATTTTTTTGAAAATTCAATAGTGCTAAAAAGTTGCATGTTATACCCGGACTAATTTTGTTGTATATTGCTTTATAATTTCTCTGATATCGTATAAAACATGAATAAACATAAATCTTGATCACTGTTTTAAATTCTCCTTTGATTGCTTACTTATCACAACTAGCTTAGGTGACACATATTGTTTGATGTCATGTATGTATTAAGTTGGCTTTTGATTAGACAATGAGAGAGAACTTAGAAAAGACGTTGTAAGCACAAGTTTAGTGCACATGATCAACTATTTTTAGCAATGTGGTAGATTAAACAGATTACCTACTTTGATTAAAAATATTGTGTACAATCGGGTGACTTTTGTCTACGAGGTTTGATGGTAATCAACAATATTTTGAAAAAAAGTAGGTAATCAGTTGTTTTGATCTTAAAGCATCTAAAGCAATTTCAATGATAAAATCACTGTAACATCACAACCTATCAATTATCAACTGAAAAATCTCTAAAAAAAAACAATCTAAGCAATTTTCAGTTACTTCTTACCTTATTGAAAGAATTACTTACTATATGTATATGGCTTTATATTACTTTATATGATCAAAGTTATTAAAAAATGGTTTTCTGTACCTTTATTGCTTCCAGGAGCATTAGGAAACCTGTCTTTGCATTCTGATGTTCTGTGTAAACAGCTGACAAAAGCCAAGGCAGTGCAAGGGTGAGTGATTCCATCTTTATTTAATTAGTGTACTAAAAGTGGTAGCAAAATCATTACCTTTTAACACTAGAAGAGTGTCTTATGCCTGTTAGCTATGCAATGCTGTGTTGACATTGCCTGCATTGAGAGACTATTGAATGGCATACATATGGTTTTCAATATCCAGGTTGATAGATGGAAAAGTTATAGGCATTTTGACATTCATATATATCTGTGATGTGTTGACTCAGGAACACACAAAACATTTAACTCAAATTTAACTTCTTGTTTATTCCGCCATTTTCAGTTACACCAACAGCACTACTTTTTTCATATCAATGCACTCGGGTGATCAGGTGACATATAACACTATTACAAAAGTATGTAATCTGACGCATGCAATAAAGTAGTTCCAAAAACGTCACAATATCCATGTTAAAGCATGATTGTCAATTGCAAGACGTTTCTGTGATTCGTCATACCAAATGGTTAACATGTAACATTTACTGACCAATTAGTTCTCATGTTTAGTCTTTTAGAAGTTGCTTGTCATGACAGTCAGCATACAACTCAAGAGGCTGCCCTGGTTGCATTACGTACCCTGTGTAAACATAAACAACATAGAGAGGTGTGTATTCATATTGTTTTTGTGTATTTTTACATCCACATAACTTGCATGGTTATCCTTGACTAACACTTCATTATCATTATGGGCAAGGTACAAAGTACACAAAAAACAGAAATGTATGTTCAACTGAAAC